TGGAAGAAGTTAGAGTCTCACCAATAAACAGTGCTGGGAAAACTAGATTTCCACAAGCAAAAGAAATAACCAAGTTCCATGCCTCAAACACAAAACCCAAGCATAGTTGTCCAAGGTCCTAAATGTGTGTTCAAATAAAAATCATATTAAGCAGATAATATAAATGGACTGAAGTCTATTTAATATGTAATAGGTAAATCAGGTTAACACAAGAGTCAAACATGTCCTGAACATGAGAGACCCTCCAGACTTGCCATGAGAAACAGGCCTGAACAGAACAGACTTGTAGTCGGGACTTCATAAAACATTGTCTTGAATAATAATTATTGATCTACCCTAGAATATAGATGTAGTCTAACCGTTGGCCTCTTGTTTCCTGAAACTGACTAGATCCTTTAAATGAAATCCATGCCCAAGCATAATGCTGGGTCTGACCACTTGAGGGAAACCATGCTTCAGCTCAGAGGTGACTCTGGAAACCAGTCTCCCCAAGGCGCAGGGTTCAAAAGGACCTCTAGTGGCTGCTGGCCTTGGTCGGTTACAATTCCACGCACGCCAGAAATATGGTTTCCAGGAGAGTCGATACTTTGCTATATGACAACAAAATTCCTAACATTCTTAGAAGAAAATATGGGGATGTGACTTTGGGTCATACTCTTTAACAGTGGATTGCAAACAACAAAAGCGTAGTAAAGGACAAAATAGATCAGTGGGATCTTATAAAAATGAAATATTTTTGTTCATCCAAAGAATTTTTTATAGAGTGAAAAGGTAATCTACAGATTGGTACAAAATTTCCAGGAACAAGGTATCTGATAAGATGGTCTAAGACCCAAAATTATATTTTAAATTGTCTGCAGCAAAAAGACAAGCAACCCAATCAAAATTCAAACTACTGTATACACTCGAGTATAAACCGAATTTTTCAGCACATTTTTAATGCAGTTTTTGTGGTAAAATTAGGTGCCTCGGCAGATATTCGGGTCAGCTTAAACTCGAGTATATACGGTAACCTAACGGCAGATACCCGGACTTAAAATATGGGTGATTAGTCCATTTGCTTCAGATCTAAAGCCACAATCCCTTTAATCAGAATGAAAGCTGTCAACCACCACTTGTCTGTCAATTTGTGCTACTGTGGTGGTTTGTGTGCTGCTGTGATGCTGGAGCTCTGTCACTGGTATTTCAAATGCCATGAGGGTCACCCAAAGTGAGCGGGTTTCAGTGGACCTTCCAGACTAAGAATAGACTACAAAGAAGGGGTTGGATGCCCACTTCGGAAGAAGTGGTTGCTGAAAACGTAATGCATAGTATAGAAACACTGTCAGATACTGAAAGCCTAATGAATGGAAGAACAGTGTCAGAAATAGTGCCAGAGAATGCAGGAAACATCAAAAGACAATAGAAAGAATACACAGTCACTGTGCCAAAAAGAACCAGTCAGCATTGCACCATTTTAGGAGGTGCGTATGACCAATAAAAGCATTAGCCAAAAACAAGACTCCAGGAATTGATGGAATACCAAGTAAAAAGTTTCAGTGAAGACAAATGGGTGCATAAGCAAATGTGGCGAAGAAAGCTGATGGT